CCCCACCTAGAAACGCACCTCAATAATGTGATCAAAATGTAGCCCTTGATCTCGACATTCTGTGGGCACCATTGCTTTCAATTCCGCCTCCAATCCCTCGCTGTAGACGGCGATTAAACGGTATCCACGTTGCATTCCTAACAAAGCCAACACTGCTCCGCTAGAGATAGGATCAACAATGACCAATGCATGTTGTCCCTCCATTTTGCGGCCTCCAACGCCGTTGTTTGTACGGAAAGCAGGCATGTGGGTGTCGCTCGTCAGGTCTCTTTCTGCAGAGGGAGCCAAAGCGACATGGGGGATGTATGGCTGGTCGGGGCGTGGACTGCAGCCTTTGTTGACCATAGCTGATCGCATTGGGCCTAGAGGGGGCATGTCTAGTACCAGCTCTACTTCTGTGTAACTTGTTTTAAAGAGTCTGTCGATATTATTGAAAAAATAGGCGGGGAGGAAGCGGTGTGAATTAGACGCGTGGTGGGATGATTGGTCGGGATGGGGCCAGTAGGAAGGCTCTTCATGCCAGTTTATTCAGCAGATGCGCATTTTAAACCACAAGCTGTCGAAGGCACGCGTAAATCGTCATAAGAACATCGTTTATAATACCTTTAAATGTTTCCAAAGAGCACCCTTTGCCGTCTAATCAGCCGGCTCATACACATGAAAGGCACGCATGTTACGCCCCTCGCGGTGAAACTTTCCGATTCATTGTTGCCCTTCACTGAAGCTACATTGCCAAATGCGAACTTTTAGAAACCGCAAAATCCTGTACACACATCATACGACACCATCAAACGTCGGCACGCCCTTTATCATGCAACGCCGGTTCGTCCAAACCGTGTCAACTTGTGTTCCACAGCAGGTCGAAGGCCGAACCCGTGAACATTCCTAGAGTAAGGCAGACATCTGCTCCGAAAAATGAGTGGACAAAAACGGTTGAAGCACGCCCGGACGGGAAAGGTAAGTAGTGTGGTAGTTCGATTGACAAGGAGAGAATGCCACAGACGTTAGCAAACCTGGGTATTGTGACGTGTACCACCCGTCCGGACAGGCACGTTCCGATGCCCGCGTGGCGTTTTTTTGCGAAAGGGTTCTTGTGTTTATTCGTGGGAATGTGGGGAGGGAATGGAGGAGAGTGGAGGAACAGGACATAAGCAGTGGCGACAGGCCAGAACGCCGTCGGAAACTTCTCGACGCATCGCCGTGGGGAACGGTCCATGTGCAGTGGTACCTTGCCTCGATCAGTGTTTAGTGGTTTGTGCTTTTTTTTGTGCGTTTGAGAAGGCTGCTGAGTTTGAGGTGACAGATTCTTAATCGTTGTCGATCGACCATCGAAGACGCCACCTAGGACGGTCTTGGCGCCGCATTGGGACTGTTGCAATGCTACTTTGGTGATACAGTGCGAGAACGGATGTTTTCTGTCCTCATTCTTGTACTTAAACACGGATTTCAGAGCAATAATTTCAATTCATAGAGTGTTTGTGCTCTTTTACGTGGGATTTACATTGGGTTCGCTGATACTGCGTGTTGTACGTTCCTTTTTTGGGGGGTCCTAGTCGTGGTAAAGGGGACAGAATGCGTACGAAATGGAATTGAAGTGGTATGCAGGCTGCGTAAGAAATGAAGTTGGAAAGCAGTGCTCTTAGAATCATGTCAGTAACGTTCTTCTTACAAGACGCTTGTTATATCGGAGCCGATACGATATCCAAAGACCGAATGGGACCTGCATTATAAGGACCACAAAAATCCAATTACACTGCTCTCTCTCGTTGGAAAAAGGGATGATGCGTGTTCGGCTTTTGATTTTTAATCCTCCATTCGTGCCCTGTTTCCAAGAAGTTGCGTGTTGAGAATTTCCTGGGAGACGTCTCTCTGAGAGCCTTCATCCAGCCCCTATAGAGCTGGATGGTCCTTGCTCTGGAAAGGGGACCAAATGTATTGGTTTCCAATGAGTTGTACGCATACTTTGATGTGAATATGTAGATACTATTGAAACAAATATTTCGCACACGATGTTAAAAGCCTCCTTAGAACGAGAACGACAACACGAGGAAAAGCGCGAAACCTTGCGACAGTATTGGGGAGTGCCTGTGATCGCCCAAATGATCTCGTGATCTGGAGACTTGCCCGCGAACTAAAGAAGAATTTTACAGGCTCACTTGGTGGGCGTGGCAAATACTGACGGTCTTGCCATTCCACGGAAAATAGAATGGTTTAATGCACAGCACATGAGATACCGCATGTGCAACCTTTTCTATGTAAAAAGCAATAGACACGCTATTGCCGTCATCTCTACATTATGTTTTTTTAAATCCTTACGACGACGTTTCCTTTCGCTCTTGCTAAGCTTCTCTTCAGTTGGTGGGGTCACACAGCCGGCGATCACATATGCTCTTTCTGATGCTGAGGTGCAAGGTTTCGCGTGTGTCTTTTACTCTCCAAAGGGTCGATCATCCTCACGTTGCGGGATAATTCTTTCATTTTTATATGGAATATTCATGCCAAAGTACTCAGCTACCGAGAAAAGTTGCACATGTGGCATATGTGGTGATTTGCGGGGTCAGTATTCCATTCGCGGACGTGACACACGAAAAAGTGTTATGAATAAATGTGCCCATTCCGCGCATCTTGAACACATTTCTTTCACTGAAGCCTGTAGAGCGTAGACTCAGCGTAAAAATTCCACATGTGTTTGATGCTTGCCTTGTTATTTTATATTTAAACAGGCTATATCTACTAACCTCCTCCCACGTTCCTCGTCTAGGAAGACTCGCTCATCCTGGTGCTTCTGTTTCACCGATTACCCATCTCATGTGTCCCTTGTTATGCCATACACTTAGAAGGATGGCTGGTGGTGGCGATTTTGTTGACATGTCCACTAGCAGTGTCATTACGAGCGATGCCATGCTCGACAGCATTCTACAGAATGGAGAGGAGGATCCAGGCAACCAAGATGGGCGGGAAAGGAGTGAGGAGAAGCTGCAACGGGTCACGTTGTCATATACCCCAACTTATCAACGCTTCCGCGCCAAGGCCCGCACATTCACTCAGCAGTATTCTCACATGTACACTAATCGTTTACGTCTGATGCGACCAATGCTGGAAGCAGCGGCCACGGCGAAATGGGGAACGGGGGCTCCAGACGGGAAGGAGGGGGAGGATGCACCTACCTTGTGCCAAAAAATCATCGACTTGGTGGACGGCGCGCGGACATCAATGGTAATCGGAACAATTTTCAAAGACATGCCGCTTCGACCCAGCTTACTGGATGAGTACAGGGACGAGGCTGCATTACAAGGTTGGGGAGGGGAAGGGGCATCTGAGGGAAAGGAAGAGGGATTGAGCACTTGGATCGAATTTCGCGAATTTGGTGCCTATTTAGGGGCGCGTGAGGCTTGGCTCAAGGCTTCAGCTACCTGAGTTTCAGCATGTCGTTTGCATAGAATGATGGGGTTTCCCTGTATCGCTACCCGCTCCCTCTTCTTCTTCATCTCCTTTGGCTGGAATTGATCACCTCATTCCGTCTGGAGTCCTTATCCCTCCCTCCCTTTTTCTCTTTGTCCTTCCCTGTTTGCCCCCTCCAGGTGCACTGCAGCCCGCCCCTGGACCCGATACGAACTATACTTCCAGTGAAGATACCTTAGTTTTGGAGGATGAATCAGGACGTGTGACCTTAAGTG